GCATGTTGAAGGAGTTGGCCATCAACATGGAAGTCATTGTAAACACCAGCATCAATCGTGTTATGCTGCCCCAAAATCAATCATACCCTCATTTAATATTCTCCGAGGCTTTGGTAGTCAGAAGATTCATTTATCAATGGTTCAAAAGACAATTAATTTTTGCTTCAACTACAATTCTGTATTATATATTTTGTGTTTGGAAATCGGGTCTACTTCATCTCCCTTCCCTCCTTTCACTGTCAAATTCTTCCCTACCTGAACACACCACTTGGGCAATTATTTTTGTTTTACTTCATTTGATTGTTGTTTAACTTTGATTATCGGAGTTTTTTAAATTAACAACACTATAAAAATAATTTTATTTAATATGTAAATTTAATTTTTTTAACAACACTAAAAAAATTAATTTATAAGGCCATAATTTTTAATTTATTATTTTTAATTAAATTTAATTTATAATTTATAATTTAATTTTTTTATTTAATATATAATTTTAAATTAACAACACTAAAAAAATAATTTATAAATGTTCAAAAGACTATTTTACCCTTTCTAATTGTTTATTAAGTAATAGCATGGAGGGTAAAATGGACATTTCACCAAATAATCCCATGGGATACCAATCCCATGATTTCTATCCCACACCCCCATGGAATATAATAGTCCCATATTTGTGGGACTAATAGTCCGACGTAAAATTTTGCAAACAAACAATGGACTATTAGTCCGGTGAGACTAATAGTCCAATCCCACACCCTTATCCCTCAAAACAAACATGTTCAAATGAGTTGAAAAATTCATTCATGGACTTTTTAGCTTAAAATATTTCTAAATGAGATTTATCAATAATTTTCTCAAAATTTAAATATAAGAACTAAATTGAATTAGACATAAAAAGATAAGACCACAAAAATAAAATTCAAGTCAAATTGTGAAGGTAAAATTTGTACAAAAATAATTCCGGTACAAGTGGAATTGAACTCATTCATCTTGGTCAACTGAGTGGTGAGGTGATAGATTTGACCCCATCTTGGTCCCCCTCATTGGTAAATAATAAAGGGTGTGGCGTCTCTTTTGTGCTTAATCGGATTAGAAGATATTGTTAGGTTCGTAGAGGCTTATTATAAGTCTTATTTTAGTAATTTGAATTGTTTAATGTGTAGAACTCGTCGAATATTATATGTTTGTAAAAAATCACGTTAATCGAATATCGATAACTATCTCATCAGATCAAGTTTTTATCAACCGTTTATATTTTCATCGTTTATTGTTTTATACAAACTTGATTTGATTATGTAACTATTGATATCCGATCAATATAAATTTTAAGAGATATATAATACTTGATAAATTTTACATATTAAACGATTCAGATTATCGAAACGAGACTAATAATAATTTTTTACAAATTTAACAATACTTTCTATTTGATCACGGATGGAAAGAACGCCAACCCCAATAATAATATCTGCTCCATGAAATTAGTGGAAGCTGCACCATCATGAAAGCTTTATCAGCTTCTATTTTTTGACGTTTTTATTCATTATTTGCCCCGTTTATCACGCCGCCCACAAAGACTTGTCTCCCAAAGAAAGTGTGCGTTTTTTTTTTCCCACCATTTATGTCAACCTGACTTTCGTTTCTTTATGCAAATTTGGCCTACTTGGGGGGCCATATGTGATAGACACATGCCTATTTTGACAACATGATTTGTAGTTACTTTTTTTTATTAGTAGTAAAAGTTAAAAGTTGATTTTTTTGTCCTTTTTTTTATTTAAGATGTTAGTTTTTAGCTAACGATAAAATTATAATTTTACTTTTTATGGGTCAAAATGTATTACATAGGTAAAGTTGTAAATATTTTAAATAAATAGGGGTAGTTTGGTCATTTTATTATGATTTGACATCATAAACAAACATTAATTAAAAAAGTCAAAAGTCACTTTTTACCAACTTTTCAAATCATTTGTTTAAAAAAGCCAAAAACTTGATTAAAAATCAAAAAATCACTTTTTACCATCTTCTCAAAACAACCCAAAGTCTAAGTACTCGGAAATTGGAATAGGAAAATTACCCAGAATGTGAAAAAAGAGTTGGGATTTAAAGAGTGACTTGTCGGTTTAGATTAAATTTAAATGGGTGAATTATAGTGATGGTTTTTATAATTTAGAATTTGTGTTATTTTAGTTTTTGCTTTTTTAATTGTGACATATTTAATTTTAAATTTTGAATCTTATTCTAAATAAGAACAATTGAAGATACCATTTGATTTTTCAAAGGCAAAACTATTAATTTGATAAAATATAACTAATTTGACAAAAATAAATATAAAAAAAATATATTTTGAAATTTTAAAAAATTATTTTTATCTACTAAAGATAAAATTATGTAAAATTGATAAATATTTTAGACATTTATTTATTTTACTAAATTAATTTTTATTATGTGTTTGGATGATAATCATATAATGGGTAGTTATTTTTGTTTTCATTAAATTAGTTTCTATTTTTTTAAAAGTCAAATATGAAGACAACTTTGATATCATTATCAAACTAATCCATTAAATCAAAAAAATAAAAATAAAAATCCAAAACTAAAAATATTTCATATATTAAATGTATCGATTACACATTAAAATTTTAATAACTACCCATTACATAATCATCATCTAAAAATATAATAAAAATTAATTTGGTAAAATAAATAAATAAATAAATGTTTAAAAAATTTATTAATTTTATATAATTTTATCTTTGGAGTGTAGAAATAATTTTAAAAATTTTATTTTGACATTTATTTTTGTCAAATTAGTTTATATTTTATCAAATGGATGATTTTATCCTTAAAATGAAGCAATGTATCTTCAATTGTTCTTATTTGAAACAAGTTCCAAAATTCAGGGTCAAATGTATCACAATTGAAAAGTCAGGGACTAAAGTGATACGAACCCCAAATGATAGGGACTATTACTGTAATTTACTCAATTTAAATTATACATTGATATTTTTGGATAAATTTTTTGCCTCGATATGTAGTATTGTTGTATGTTATATATATGTTTGGAAATGCTATGAATTTGAAATATTGTCCTAGAATGTGATGGAGATTGAATTGATAAGTATAGGGTTCATATATAATGAATATAAATATATGAGTCTTAGATTGATATTTTGAATAAGATTTTGGAAAAATTTTATAGTTGTGTGTAGTGCTGATGGGTGTGAAAGTCGTGCTTTCCATCTGTTCCACGTTTTAACAACGTCGCAAATTTTCTACTCTATATAGACTTCTTGATGATCTCTTGTGAAAATATTATGTATTATGCAGAGAGAGGAAGGGAGAGAGAATTTGAATTAGTCAATGGGTCAAAGTCTTTACAGTTCTTGTGGATCTAGCAGGAAAGTGACTAAGAAACTCCTTCTATCATCTATGGGGTTGTCTTTGGCGCGACCTTCCATTTCAATGAACAAATCGTAGCAGCACTTGGCTCCGTTCTTTAAGTCTGCTCCTGTGCAAGTCTTCTATTAACAAATTTCCAAGTCAACTGGCGTGTTTACCAGAGAAACAATCTATGGTGGTTGACAATCACTAAAAATATCTCTGTATTTTAAGTAAGAGCATTTCTGTCCTCTATGCTATGGTGGTTTGTCTTCGTTTGCTGAATTGGGTATTTCGAATGGGGTTTCCGTCCATTTTTTCTTTCTTTGTTATATCCCATTTAGTGATTGTTCACTCTACTGGGCAAGACGACGTGCACGGGTACCAACATGGTTGTCCACAGTCCTTCAACTGTGGAAAACTTGGGCCTGTGAAATTCCCTTTCTCCAACGACACATATCCCCGATGTGGGTTGTGTACTGTCAATTGTAGCGAACCAGTACCAATAATCAAATTGGGGTGGAAGCGCAAACCGTATGAAGTTAAGGAATTCTTGAATGATGAAGCTGTAAATGTTAGTGACAAATTGCTAGGAGACCTCATAAGCTCCAAAAGTTGCGACATTTTCAGTAACTTGAGTCTTTTTAGTGGACCTCGAGACATTTCCTATACGATGTCTCCCAACCTCACCTTGTTCAAATGCCCTACAAACAGCAGCAGTAAACCTCTACGGCAGACAGGAGTTTACAGTTTCAGCAACTGCTCAGGCTACATTGTCTACTATACAGATCCTAATCAACGTACTCAAACTCCTTCCAATCTTTCATCTAACTGTGTAGTTATTCAACTACCAATGCTACCATCAATCCAGAATCGAAATGTCAGTGATCTATTTTCACTATTGGCTTGTGAATTCACCATCAGGTTGCATGTGTCGAAGGAATGTTTAGAATGTCACCATAATGGAGGCCAATGTGATGAAGGGTCCCTTTGCATAAAGGATGAAGGTATTGGCATTTCTGCATTTGCATGCTGTTATTTCTGTATTAATCCACCACACAAATTGAATCCAAAATCTTCAGTCTCTCTAGCAGTCCAGTTCATATTACGTTGGTGCGTTTTTAATTGAAGTGTTGTTTTTCTCCATTAGTTAAACTCAAGAATTTAAAATATAGAACGTAAATTAATTCTGCATTTAAACATGGCTAACTGATGTTTTTCTACTTGACATTGGTTGCAGGAAGAAGTCACTTGAAAGTGGTTCTAGCAACAGGTAATATACCTCTGATCAGTTTCTTCACACATGAGTAAATATAGATGTATGCATGTTACTTAAATGTTTTAAAACAACTTCTTTATTCATATGCAACATTCATCACATGTTCTCAAATTTGATGGATTCCATCCACCAACTTCAGTCTATCAAAACTTTTTTTTGCTGCCCCAGTTCCCCCTTGCTTTTTATTGTTGCTTTCATGAGGATTAATGAGTGAATCAAAACCTGACTACACCACTTCTTTCTTCAGTCATACCTGGAGTTATCCTTCTGCTTGGCTTGCTCATACTTGCTATCCGGTATCGCAAGAAATTGAATTATGTCTATTCAGTCGTCCTTTCAATCAACACGTCTTCCGATCCCTCCTCTAAACCAGACCTTGAAGGAGGTAGTGTTTACTTTGGGGTCCCTGTCTTCTCCTACACTGAATTGGAAGAAGCTACTAATAACTTTGATCCCTCTAAGGAATTGGGAGATGGAGGTTTTGGCACTGTATACTATGGTAAGAAGGTTCACAGTTCTATCTTTCGTAAAATTACCACATTTACATTTTAGGGAGATTTACCAATAAATCCCAAAATGTAAACTTATGAACCAATTAGTCCCATTTTTATTCTAGTAAACCGTTTAGTCCCATTTAATTGTGAGGGACGTAATTACCCTCATCTCTAACCGTTGCTCACAGATACACAGACACACACACACAGACACACACACACAGAGATACACACACAGATACATACACACACACACACACAGAGATACACACACACACACAGACACACACAGATACATACATACACACACAGATACACACACACACACACACACACAAATACACACATACATTACGAGGGGCAGACACACACACACAGATACATACACACACACATCTGCAGATCTACACACACACACACAGAGGAAGCACGTGATTTATCCACGAGATTCTATCATCAAAAGGTATGATCTGATGATTTTATTCCGCTGCATGTTTTGTGTTTTGATTTACAATATGCAACATTCATCACATGTTCTCAAATTTGATGGATTCAATCCACCAACTTCAGTCTATGAAAACTTTTTTTTGCTGCCCCAGTTCCCCCTTGCTTTTTATTGTTGCTTTCATAAGGATTAATGAGTGAATCAAAACCTGACTACACCACTTCTTTCTTCAGTCATACCTGGAGTTATCCTTCTGCTTGGCTTGCTCATACTTGCTATCCGGTATCGCAAGAAATTGAATTATGTCTCTTCAGTCGTCCTTTCAATCAACACGTCTCCCGATCCCTCCTCTAAACCAGACCTTGAAGGAGGTAGTGTCTACTTTGGGGTCCCTGTCTTCTCCTACACTGAATTAGAAGAAGCTCACTGATAGGACTTATTCGAACAAAAGAATAAAGTTGGGACTAATTGGTTTAATAGTTTGTGAAATGGGATTTATTGGTAAATTTTCCTACATTTTAATTAGCATGTTCATATTCATATTCATATTCTTATATTCACACTACTCATGCCCGTAGCACAATATTTGATCTTTTCTCAACCAGGAAAACTCCAAGATGGGAGGGAAGTTGCAGTCAAGCGCCTATACGAGCACAACTATAAGCGAGTGACTCAGTTCATGAATGAAATTGAAATCCTCACACGTTTGCGCCATCACAATCTTGTCACCCTTTATGGTTGCACCTCTCGACTGAGCCGGGAACTCCTCCTTGTCTACGAGTACATTCCTAATGGCACTGTTGCTGATCATATACATGGTGATCGTGCAAAGGATCGACCACTCGTGTGGTCTATCCGCATGAGCATTGCCATAGAAACAGCCTGTGCATTGACTTACCTCCATGCTTCTGACATCATCCACCGCGATGTAAAGACTAACAACATACTCCTTGACAACAATTTTTGTGTCAAAGTTGCAGATTTCGGGCTTTCAAGGCTTTTCCCCAATGATGTCACTCATGTCTCAACAGCTCCACAAGGGACTCCTGGTTATGTTGATCCAGAATACCACCAATGTTACCAACTTACGGATAAGAGTGATGTTTATAGCTTTGGGGTTGTGCTCATTGAGCTCATATCATCAATGAAAGCTGTTGACATTAGTAGGCATAGGCATGAGATTAATTTGGCTAACTTGGCGATAAACAGGATCCAACGTCGTGCATTTAATGAGTTAATTGACACATCTCTTGGGTTCGAGTCAGATTCTTCGATTGAGAGGATGACTACCATGGTGGCAGAGGTGGCTTTCCGGTGCTTGCAACTTGAAAAGGAAATGAGACCTACAATGGAAGAGGTTTTGAGGGCTTTGAAGGAAATTCAGGATTCCAAAGATGAGAACACTGTGTACGTAATAGAGAATGCTGAGGTGTTGAAGAGTACACGGCCACCTCCTTCACCTGAGGGTGATAATATTGTGTTGTTGAAGAATGGCAAGGAGCTTCCTTCACCAGATGCTGTGACTGATAGATGGGTTAGTTCCTCTTCCACATCCATTTCCAGTGGTTAAGGCTTCATTTCCCTCTGCTTTATTTTAGAGGTAGTAAAAGCTAAGAAAATGTTTGACACTTATGTCATGTGCATGAAAGTGGTTTGTATTCCTCCTCTTTTTTTCATTTATTTTTATTTCCTTACCTATGTTATTGATATAGATCTGCTAATTATATTGAGGGAATGTATATAGTAAATGGAGTTCTTATCAGTATACATGTTCATATTTGGAGATAGCTGAAGTCATGGCTCAGTTCACTTTGAATTTCTGTTGACTTTGTACTAATCTAGTGAGTATGTGATCTTTATAGCATTTTTATTTTGGGTAAAAGGAAATGGATGAAAAAGAAATTTAAAAAAATACTGAACTAGAAAAACCAAAATATTGTTGTTATATTCTGTATTAAGAGTTAGGCTGACGACTAATATGTTCTGCCAATGGTTGGATGGCTCATAATGGTTCAGTTAAAGATACAAACAAATGAAAATTTGATACTTTTTTTTAATTTTTTTTTTTTTATAATTACAATAACATGAAGAAGACATCTATTTGCCATGGTTCCACTGGTTACAATTGCCAGTGAAAACAAGAGAAGATGAATCCAGTTGTAGTTTAGCCACATGAGAGGAAATCTTGGACATTTTGGAATTACAATTGCTCAGAATGACAATCAAGAGTGACCAAAGTGTGTGTGAACATTATCATGAAGGTACATGTTTTGTGCAATAGGCAAGACATGTTGCATCGGTACATACTAAACGTACTGATGTGACACTTATCATGTTTCATTTTCTAAAATTTCATCATTGAGTGTCATATGAGTTAGTAAGGAGAGTTTGTAAGATATGTTAGTTTTATGTACTCCCTCCGTCCCAAAATAATAGTCCTTTTTGGGGAATTCAACTTTTTTTGGTAGTACAATTATTGTACTTTTAAAAAGTTGGTTTTCCAAAATTACCCTTTGATAGTACACTTTTTTGAGAATATCAATGTCATAATTATACTTTTTATATTATTTATGAATTTAAAAGAAGGGCAAAATGGGAAATTTATATTATTTTTGTACTTGATTTTTGAAGAGGGACTAATATTTTGGGACAATGAAAAATGGAATAAGGGACTAATATTATGGGACGGAGGGAGTAAAAGGTAGTAAAAGCTAAGAAAATGTTTGACACTCATGTCATGTGCATGAAAGTGGTTTGTATTCCTCCTCTTTTTTTCATTTATTTTTATTTCCTTACCTATGTTATTGATATAGATCTGCTAATTATATTGAGGGAATGTATATAGTAAATGGAGTTCTTATCAGTATACATGTTCATATTTGGAGATAGCTGAAGTCATGGCTCAGTTCACTTTGAATTTCTGTTGACTTTGTACTAATCTAGTGATCAGTATGTGATCTTTATAGCATTTTTATTTTGGGTAAAAGGAAAGAGTAATGCTACACATCATGAAAAGAATATCATGAAAAGTTTCATGAAATAAATCCAAGGGTGATTGTATAACATACAATAAAACATTACAAACACTATAAACTAATCCAAGGGTGGAGATTCTTCATGAAGACTTTTCATGATACTTCTTTCATGATACCTAGTATTTTTGAAAAGGAAATGGATGAAAAAGAAATTTAAAAAAATACTGAACTAGAAAAACCAAAATATTGTTGTTATATTCTGTATTAAGAGTTAGGCTGACGACTAATATGTTCTGCCAATGGTTGGATGGCTCATAATGGTTCAGTTAAAGATACAAACAAATGAAAATTTGATACTTTTTTAAATTTTTTTTTTTTTTATAATTACAATAACATGAAGAAGACATCTATTTGCCATGGTTCCACTGGTTACAATTGCCAGTGAAAACAAGAGAAGATGAATCCAGTTGTAGTTTAGCCACATGAGTGGAAATCTTGGACATTTTGGAATTACAATTGCTCAGAATGACAATCAAGAGTGACCAAAGTGTGTGTGAACATTATCATGAAGCTACATGTTTTGTGCAATAGGCAAGACATGTTGCATCGGTACATACTAAACGTACTGATGTGACACTTATCATGTTTCATTTTCTAAAATTTCATCATTAAGTGTCATATGAGTTAGTAAGGAGAGTTTGTAAGATATGTTAGTTTTATGTAATGTTTTTCTAAGGTTGTGTTTGAATCATTAATTTGGAGCGTTTCATACATTTAAAAAAAATTATGATCAAAAGATTATGTAAATTTATTTATTTATTTTTGTAAATATTTGTCATACTTATAAAAAGATTACTTCCATATATATAATGAAAAATGATTCATCTCCTAATTTAACCCCCCAATTCCACCGCAATGATGTAGAATTAGGGAGGCTACAGATGTGAGTGAGAAACAGAGAGAGAGAGAGAGAGAGAGAGGAGTGTACACATGGGTCTTAACCACGTCATTGGGGATGTAATTGGGGGGGCCTCAATTAGGAGATGTAGCGGAATTGATACATAATTATTAAAACTTATTTAAATATATAACAAAGTTTACAATTAAAAAAAAATCAAAATAATTCAAGCTCAAGTGTTAAATAAAGAGTCAATAAATTGTACACTTAAATATCACTCTTCTTATATTTTTAACTACAAAATTATTAATCAAACTTGCATAATTCAACTTATTAACTAAATCATTTTCACTGAATTAAATTACTAATACATTCAATCTTTCTTGTAACATAGTTGACCGTAAATTCAAAAAGTTTCTTTCCCACAAAACAATTGTAATTGGTATAATTGATCATATTCTATGTGCAATCCATGAATTTAAGAAACAATCATCCATTAATTTAAAATAATTTACCGTGTCAATCATTTTTTTAAAAAATTTTTGCCGCTAAAAACAATAATTCATTAGTTTTAAATAATTTACCACATTAACTATCTATTAGTTTTGAATTTTTACTAAATTTTGTGAGACTTTTTTCAAATTCAGGTGTTTTTTTTTTGTTTTTTTGTAAACAAATTTGGAGTTTTTTTTTCTCCTAAATCTTCTTGGGTCCAAATCGGCCGTGTCAAATCCTTACTCAATTCTAAGCTCCAAACACCGTCCTAAAGGATTAGAGATGGCAAAGCTGAGCTGATTCATTATACTGTTCTCTCTCGTTTCTTTATGCGTATTTGGCCAATTTGGGCCCCCCCATATGTTGATTTTGGAATGGATACAAAAATCTTGCATTCCTTCTGTTTGAGGTTTGAACTTTGAACAAAGCCGCAACTTTGCTACTCTCCATATAGCTTCTTGATGATTTCTTATAAAAACTGAACATATTAAGAGAGACCGAGAGAGAAGAGTTTGAAGAAATCAATCAGTCAAATCTTTATTGTTTTTGGGTCTATGAGGAAGGTGAATAGGAAACTCCTATGGACTCTTTGGCCAACTGGCCATTCCAAAATGAACAAGTAGTAGCCGCAATTTGTTCCAATTTTTAACTCTGCTTTCTGAGTAAGTTCTCCTTACAACAATATATTCCAAGTCAACTGGCGTGTTGAGCTGAGAAACTACCTATGGTGGCATTACAAACACCTTTGTGTGTGTGTGTGTGTGTTTTTTTTTAAGTAAGTGCATTTTGTTCCTCTCTATTATGGTGGTTTGTTTTTGTTCGTTAAATTGGGATTTTGAATGGCTTTTCCATCCATTTTCGCTTTCTTTGTTATTGTCTCCCATTTAGTGATTCTTCAATCTAGTGGGCAAGACAATCAGTTCCAACATAATTGTTCACAGTCCTTCAATTGTGGAAATCTTGGGTAGATCAAATAGAAGAAAGTTGTACAAAATTGGCATATCCTAATTTGGGTGAGACCGTGTCTATATATAATAAATATAAGATATACAGGAAAAATGAATTAAATAATTACATAATCAAGTCCTAAAATCAAATCCCTAAATAACTGTAATTTATAGAAATCAGGGGATCTTCTAAATACACAAAATTCTTTATTTCAATACTCTCCCTCAAGCTGGATCAAAGATGTCAACCAAACCCAGCTTGCCAATGGAAGACTGAAGTAGGGATGGTCCTACAGTGAAGATGTCGGCAGTCTGATCAGAAGATGGAACAAACGAGGGACATACAATGCCAGCTCTAACCTTTTCCCAGATGAAATGAATATAAACTTTAATATGCTTAGTACGCTCATGAAGCATAGAGTCGGAGGCAAGTAAGATGGCAGACTTTGTCACAAAATAGCTTGGAGGAAATATTTTCCTCAAAGCCTAACTCAGTAAGAATGGACTGAAGCCATAGTAACTCACATGTCCCATGAGCTATGGCTCGGTACTCAGCTTCAGCAGATGATCAAGAAACAATCGCTTGTATTTTGCTTTTCTAGGACAGAAGATGGGTACCAAGGAAAGTGCAAACCCTAGAAGTTGAACTCCTGCCAGCCAATGAACCTGTATAGTCTACATCAGTAAAACAGGACAATCTTGTCTCAATCCCACCATTGAAGAATAAACCCAAATTTGGACATGACTTGAGATATTTCAAGATATGGTGAACAGTGTCACAACCCAAATCCGGACATGACCGGCCGTGGCCTACAGGGACTTAGCCCAAGGCACACGTAAGCCTAAACACAAATCCATAAACACATTGAATAACTATACAATAGTCCAATAATAAATAACCAAACTCAATCTAATGACATACCACAAGTATAAACGGAAAAACTAACCGTAATCAATACCATTCAAACATAAACAACCCACATATCAAAATAATCCTAAATGAACCTCAATAAAAATAAAAATAAATATGCACAACCTTGACATAACAATCTAAAACAAAATAAATGAATGTCCTAGAGGTCTATGCAATTGAGTCCCCACTATGCCACGAGTCCACTCTAAGTCCTTCTAACACCTGGAAATGATAAATAACTAAGTTAGCTGATAGCTCAATAAGTAGCAATATGGATAGTAAATACAGTTTTGAAAACAGGGTTCAATTCTAAAATAAGATATATATCACAGAAACTAGATAGGCATACAGTTTGGTAAAGACAATCTGTTTTAAAAGAAGGTTCCACAGTTCAACAGTTAAAATACTCATGTCTCTCAGGAACATGATAAATGATATTTTTCACTTAAAACAGATTACAATATGAACATCAATAATTTTTTAGGTACCAAGAAATAACAAATAATATGCCACACAGTTCTCAAGACTATAAGCCCCGTTGGATCCAATACCGAACTACGAGTCATCCTTAGGGTGGCAACCTAGGCCTTTTCTCTAAGATGATCCGATTGAAGATCACCTAACTTAACGTAGGTCTCTTCCTTACAATTGTTGAGCACTAGAGTTATCACGGCCCAACTCGGATCTATTCCCTAGTGGCCAAAGTCACCACACAGTGGAATAATTTTTCTAGACTAAATACACATATGGTCCCAATAATCAATACACACCAATTTCACAAAACATGGTAGTTCATCATTATAAACATGAGACTAAAACAAATAGTTTACAGTATGCCAAGTTCACATATGTTTCAGAAATAATTTGATTCCAATGATAATATAATAATTTATCAAAACAGTTTAGTCCTAAAACAACAATTTAATTTTCCAACAGTTCAGGGTAGGGAACATTTATAAAAATATGTAGCATGAAACTACTCACCTAGAAATGAAATAATGTAATTCTCGAATAGAGTATAAAAGTCCAACTAGTGCCCTGAACTAAGTATAAAAACTACACGTCACTACTAATTTAAAAATACTAAAGAATAGGAACTAAGTAACCTCAAACTTAAAGCGCACTAACCCGGCTCAACCCAACTCACCGTTACTCTTAAATATTATCAAAGTTCATGTTCTTCAAGGTCTAAAATCACCAAGACATGGGTTGAAATCGAAAATGAATTAAAAGTAACTTTAAGATAAAACAGAATTTTAAATAAGTTTTCCCAATCTATTCGCTAATTTTGAAAATTACAAAACCCAGTCCACGTTGTTCGAAAAATTCCAAAACCCTCCAGATATTAACTAATATATCCTAAGTTTCAAACCTAATTGGTTTTACTTGATTTTCTTATCAAAATAATTATTTATAATTAATTATGCCCAAACAGGTTGTTTTCTGCAGCACTCTAAATAAATTAATGGTTCTCTTAGTATACACAAGCAATCAATGCGAGGCCGAAAATGTAAGAAACTAGACTCGTAACCAGTTCTAATGACGCTGATTTGATAATTTTTGGATTTATACCCAAAGAGAACGGCACTCCCGAACTTATTGTTTTAAACCAGTTTTCTGGACAGATTTGAACGCATCAGTTTATATGGATTTTGACTTCCAAAAATTATGAAAAAAATTCAG